TGGGGATAATAATACCCATCCTGTTTCCTTATAAAAATCAAATTAGATGATGCCTGTGAATGTTCTGTAGTCTCTTAGACAAATCCAAGTTATGACTACAGCAAGAGTAAAACAGCATGTTGTCGTGGACATTCTTTCAGTGGAATGTCTAAGACTTGTGAGTCATGCTTAAGATAAACTTGATATCTACTTCATTCATTTTCTTTTTAGTTCTATGTACTATATTGAATTTCCTGAGAGTGGGGCTAAGAAAGCCTTCCTAGCATTTTATAGATGTGGTTGAATTAATGGTTGTAAGCCTTAAAGCAGAATTAGACAACATCAATGAATTTATTAAGTGTAAATAAATACATAATCTACTTAGCAATATTGCACAGCCTCTTTATCTTATGTGTGATAAAGACTCATCTGAAGGCTGAAAATGAAGAATTGTCCTTGAAGCTCTTATTTACTCTTTTATGATTTCCCAATACAGTATATAAGGTTACTTATTGAAACCTTAGCAGAATAAGAAACAGGAAGTTAAAAGGCTGAAAACTATAAATTTTGCTATTATTGTTATTATTATTACTGACTCCTTCCCAAATCTCTTACTGATCTGTTAGAAACAGAGCTACAAAGGAAATAGTAGGACAGTTAGTATGCGATAGTGTTATTTGGTTTTTAATTATTCAAGTCAAGTTTTACCCCATTAGAGGAACTCAAGAAGTTGCTTGTGGCTGATAACTGCCATCTGTCAAATTCCTTAGAGCAGGGGTCCCTAACCCCCAGACCATGGGCTGTTACTAGTCCATGGCCTGTTAAGAACCAGGCTGCACAGTAGGAAGTGAGTGGCGGGTGAGCAAGCATTGCCATCTGAGCTCTGTCTCCTTTCAGATCAGCAGCGGTGTTAGATTCTCATAGGAGCATGAGCCCTATTGTGAACTGCACATGCAAGGGATCTAGGTTGTGTGCTCCTTGTGAGAGTCCAAATCCTTATGAGAATGTAACCGATGATCTATGGTGGAACAGTTTTATACCAAAACCATCCCTCCTGCTACTCACAGACCGTGGAAAAATTGTCTTCCACAAAACTAGTTCCTGGTACCAAAAAGGTTGGGACCGCTGCCTTAGAATTTATAATTTGGGGCTAGCACAGCCTGTATTTACCTAAGAATTTCAGTGAGTTCACCGATCATTCCAAATGAAAGGCTTCTTATGAAAATTATATCCAAACTCTCTTTTCTCTTAGTTTACGCATCAGTAAGTTTTTACTGAGTACTGCTATTACATTTTTCTGTGTTAAGCATTATGGGGGCTGAGACCTGATCCGTTTCCTCAAAGAACTTACCTTCCAGATGAAGGCTAACCAGAATGAGCAAATATGGTTAACAATTAACAAGTGAATAGGCCAGCCTGGCCAACATGGTGAAAACCCATCTCTACTAAAAATACAAAAATTATCTGGACATGGTGGCAGGCACCTGTAATCCTAGCTACTTGGGTGATTGAGGCAGGAGAATTGCTTGAACCTGGGAGGCAGAGGTTGCAGTTAGCCAAGATTGTGCCACTGCACTCCAAACTGGGTGACACAGCAAGACTCCATCTTGGCAATACAAAACAAGTGAGAAGAGAATCAAGTACTACATAAGATGTAATGTGGAATTTTAGGGAAGGAAGTCAGTGTATGCTGGAGTAATTAGAGAAGGGGACATGCGTAATTTGATGCTTCAACTGGATCATGAAGGATAAGCAAGATTTAAGCAGCGAGCGAGAGGGAAAAAGAAGTTTGCCAGAGGAATGGAACAAGTCAGGAGGCAGTCATGTGTATGGAGCTCCAAGGACTCCACCCTGATGAGAGCAGAAGTGACAAAGCATCGAGTAATATGAGAAAGTTAGCTAAGAAGGGTGAGTGCAGATTTTTTGGAGTGTTGAATATCATATAGAAGACATTAGATTTGAGAAGATAGAACAAAAAACCATTGCAAGTTTTTGTGTCAGAGAATAATACTATGAGAGTGGTTATTCAGGAAGAGGCCATCAGAGTTGAATGGAGCAGAAAGAATGTCTGATACAGCATAGGGACATTGTGGTCACAAAATGAGGTGGTGAGGGTCTGAGCCAAGATGGTGGCAGTGGGATAGATAAAAAGGGATGGCCAGGAGAAATATTTTAAAGGGAAAATTAACAGGACATCTTCATTGACTAGATTGGAAGGCTATACAGGAAATAGATTGTCAAACTTGATTCCAGGGTTTCTGTCCTATGCCTGGATTGTCCATAATATCAGGAAACCATTGTTAGAAACAGAAAAGGTCGAAGATATCACTGTTCTGACAAAAAGTATTGAGTTTAGTGTTACATCCACTGGACTTTAAGGCCTTGTGAGTGAGTAGGCAGTTAGAATTTCCGAAGTGCCAGTCAGAGAGCAGGGCTTGCAATGTGGGGTTGGACTTTGTCACCATTTTGTTCCCAATTCTATGCAGATGCTCAGCTTGAGGAATGCCCATGTTTGGGCTTCAGAATGAAAGCCAAGTAAATTTCCTCACATGCCAGTATTTCCTCTAAAATATCTGCTTGTGGAACTGAGAAAAGAACATATAAAGTATTAATTATTTTTCTGATAAAACAATTATTAATAGAAAGATAAGACCAATGAAAGGCAGAGTCAAGTAGAAGTCAAGTATAGAAAAAGGTATCATTCAAGGACTCATTACTGTAGTGGTGATAACAATTTTCCAGCAGTTAAGATGCCTCAGTACTTTGGGCCATTTTTGAATAGTTAGTGGGGGCACTTAGTAAATAGGTATTAAATTAACTATAGTTCATTAATCTTTTTTTTTTTTTTGAGACAGAGTTTCACTCTTGTCACCCAGGCTGCATTTTTGCCTTCTTAGTGATATACGAAATGTTATGTTTCACAATGGTGGTATCTTAGATTTGATTAAATATGGTATTAAAAGATTGCTGATCACAGAAAGTCTCTACCAGTGTGACATAGTTGGCTAAAGTATTCCAAATTTGCAATCTTTCATTAACCTATATAAGAAGTATCCCTTGGGATGTTTTTATTTGGACTGGGAATATTAGGAGAAAGCTTTTTCATTCATTGGTGTGAGTACCATCTGCCAGAAATAGAAACCCCATGGAGGATCTATTTCTTTGATGGTGCAGGACTCAGAACATTCACAAAGATTTAGTTATTAGCAGAATAGACATCTGTATTTTATTCAAACCAATTTGCACTTCCTAATCTGAGACCGTTGTGCAATCTAAGCAGTCCTAAGCATGTTTGCTATTCGCACAAAGTGAGAGTAAATCTAAAAGAAATTAAACAAGGGATGGTAATAAAATCTCTTAGTGGTTGACAATGTTATTTCTTACGAAAGTGGAGAACATTTGCTTTTCAATATCAGCGTTTTCAGCCGTTTCCACATTCTGACTTATTGACTGGAGGTCGGTTGTCTTTGCATTCAGTAAAACTTTATGGGCAGAAACATAGTTCCTTTTCTTACTTACTTGAATAACATGATGGCCATTGCATGTATGTGTCTTTGTGTAAGTCCATGTCTCAGAACTGAGAAGTAGGAATAAAATTAGTGTCAGGGCTGGGGATGCTACTCTTTGCTGCTGAGGAACACAATACTTCAGGTAAGTGATTCTGAAGTCCTTCACCACCTGACGGTAACCTTGGGTTGGTCTGTAGGTACGTTTTCATTTTGCTTGTTCATCCATTTTAATTGGCTTCCTAGAGCATGCTTGTAGATGTAGAGCCAAATTTAGAGTAGAGCAACCCTCTGGCAAACAGGAAAAGATTAATTTTGTGGTATGCTTTTAAGGGACTTCCCAGGAAACTTCAAAAGCAGAAAAAGAACACTAGCTGCCTATTCCAAAATGTGTAAAATACTACTCAGTTTTTTAAAAGTAGGATAAACTTGGAGTGTGCACATGCACGTGTGCGCACACACACACGCACACACAGAGGACCACATCTCCAGTAAAAGGAAAAGGAGCTTTCTCAACTAGATGTGTGCATTAGCCAGAAAAAGCCAAGGAGTGAAGGGTTTTAAAGAATTTGAGGAGGAGATAAAGTGGAGTCTACATATGGGAAGCATTTGAAATTGACTTAAATGCCTTCTCAATGTTGACTTTTTCAGTTTTCTCTTTAGCAGACACATTGTTTTCATGATATCAGCCCCAGGCATAGACACATCATTAAAATGAACATGTTGAAAATGATTTCTGTTTAGAAATAAGCAAAACATTTTCAGTTGTGACCACCCAGGTGTAGAAGAAAGAACAGTGGAATTGGGAGCCATGAGTTCTAACATAACCTTTCTTCATAACATGAGGCAAGTCTTCCATGGCCTTTGGTTTCCTTATCTGTAAAACAGGATGGCTCAATGAAATTATCTTTGTTCTTTACTATAATAGAGTATCTCTGTGGGAAGAGGGGAAAAAAGTCAGTTTAAAGGCTCCTTATAGCTCCCAACTGCTGTTTTATTGTGCTATTCATGCCTAGACATCACATAGCTAGAAATGCCCATCAGACCCCTCAGGCCACTGCTGTTCCTGTCACACATTCCTGCAAAGGACCATGTTGCTAACTTGAAAAAAATTACTATTACACTTGCAATTGTTGCTTAGTAACGTTTCTGATTTTGTGTTTCTTGTGACAGCATGAGTAGACATCATTAAAAATTAAGCTTACAAAGCTGCTGAAGTGGGAGGAAGGAGAACTTGAAGCCACAATTTTTACACTTGCTTAGAAGCCATCTAATCTCAGGTTTATATGCTAGATCTTGAGGGAAACACTGCACATCTCTGGTTTATATTATAGCACATACAGCACACTACTGACATTGATTTGTGTCTGGTGCAGCTGGAGTTTATCACCAAGACATAAAAAAAACCTTGACCCTGCAGAATAGCCTGGAATTACAATCAGATGGGCCACATGGCATCCCATTGAAAGAAAGCCCTGACCAGTTTTCTGTCTTGTTTCTGCTTTCTCCCTATAGTTCCACCAGGTGAGAAGAGTGATGACCATCCTTTTCCTTACTATGGTTATTTCATACTTCGGTTGCATGAAGGCTGCCCCCATGAAAGAAGCAAACATCCGAGGACAAGGTGGCTTGGCCTACCCAGGTGTGCGGACCCATGGGACTCTGGAGAGTGTGAATGGGCCCAAGGCAGGTTCAAGAAGCCTGACATCGTCATTGGCTGACACTTTCGAACATGTGATAGAAGAGCTGTTGGATGAGGACCAGAAAGTTCGACCCCATGAAGAAAACAATAAGGACGCAGACTTGTACACGTCCAGGGTGATGCTCAGTAGTCAAGTGCCTTTGGAGCCTCCTCTTCTCTTTCTGCTGGAGGAATACAAAAATTACCTGGATGCTGCAAACATGTCCATGAGGGTCCGGCGCCACTCTGACCCTGCCCGCCGAGGGGAGCTGAGCGTGTGTGACAGTATTAGTGAGTGGGTAACGGCGGCAGACAAAAAGACTGCAGTGGACATGTCGGGCGGGACGGTCACAGTCCTTGAAAAGGTCCCTGTATCGAAAGGCCAACTGAAGCAATACTTCTACGAGACCAAGTGCAATCCCATGGGTTACACAAAAGAAGGCTGCAGGGGCATAGACAAAAGGCATTGGAACTCCCAGTGCCGAACTACCCAGTCGTACGTGCGGGCCCTTACCATGGATAGCAAAAAGAGAATTGGTTGGCGATTCATAAGGATAGACACTTCTTGTGTATGTACATTGACCATTAAAAGGGGAAGATAGTGGATTTATGTTGTATAGATTATATTGAGACAAAAATTATCTATTTGTATATATACATAACAGGGTAAATTATTCAGTTAAGAAAAAAATAATTTTATGAACTGCATGTATAAATGAAGTTTATACAGTACAGTGGTTCTACAATCTATTTATTGGACATGTCCATGACCAGAAGGGAAACAGTCATTTGCGCACAACTTTAAAAAAGTCTGCATTACATTCCTTGATAATGTTGTGGTTTGTTGCCGTTGCCAAGAATTGAAAACATAAAAAGTTTAAAAAAATAATAAATTGCATGCTGCTTTAATTGTGAATTGATAATAAACTGTCCTCTTTCAGAAAACAGACAAAACATACACACACACACACACACACACACACACACCAAAAATTTGAACCAAAACAGTCCGTTTACATTTTAGACAGTAAGTATCTTCGTTCTTGTTAGTACTATATCATCTGTTTTACTGCTTTTAACTTCTGATGGCGTTGGAATTAAAACAGTGTCAAGGTGCTGTTGTCATTGCTTTACTGGCTTAAGGGATAGGGGATGGGAGGGGTATATTTTTGTTTGTTTTGTGTTTTTGTTTTGTTTTGTTTTGTTTTGTTTAAGTTCCCACAGGGAGTAGGGACGGGGAAAGAATTCCTTCAATATGTATTCTCGTTGATAAAATATATATTTGTATGTTGTGAAGATGTTTGCAATATCAATCAGATGACTGGAAAGTGAATAAAAATTAAGGAAACCGAACAAAAAAAAAATGCTCACACTCCACATCCCGTGATGCACCTCCCAGGCCCCCGCTCATTCTTTGGGCGTTGGTCAGAGTAAGCTGCTTTTGATGGAAGGACCTATGTTTGCTCAGAGCACATTCTTTCCCTCCCTCCCCCTCTGGTCTCCTCTTTGTTTTGTTTTAAAGAAGAAAAATCAGTTGCACGCTCTGAAATATTTTACCACTGCTGTTAACAAGTGAACACATTGTGTCACATCATGACACTCATATAAGCATGGAGAATAGTGATTTTTTTTTAGAAAAGAAAACAAAAAATAACCCCAAAACGAAGATTATTTTTTATAAGGGGAAAACATTTGGGTAAATCACGGTAAAGCTTAAAAAACTCATGGTTAAGGCTTAACAATGTCTTGCAATACCTTGCAAGCAAAAGGGAGAGCCCTGTATGAACCCAGAAACACCTAGATCAGAACAGGAATCCACATTGCCAGTGACATGAGACTGAACAGCCATATGGAGGCTATGTGGAGCTGACATAGCATTTACCGGCAGTGCAGGAGGAATTTCTGAGTGGCCATCCCAAGGCCTAGGTGGAGGTGGGGCATGGTATTTGAGACATTCCAAAAGGAAGGCCTCTGAAGGACCCTTCAGAGGTGGCTCTGGAATGACATGTGTCAAGCTGCTTGGACCTCGTGCTTTAAGTGCCTACATTATCTAACTGTGCTCAAGAGGTTCTCCACTGGAGAACCACACTCAAGCTGACTTATGCCCTCCATCCCACCTCTGGATAATTTTGCATAAAATTGGATTAGCCTGGAACAGGTTCAGAGCCAAATGTGGCATTTGTGATCATGATTGATACAATGAGATAGAAGATGTTTGCTACATGAACACTTACTGCTTTGAAATTACAGTTGAGGAAACCAGGGTTTATCTTTTAGGACTTTTGGTAAGGGGAAAGAGAACAGGAAAAGAAACCCCAAACTCAGGCTGAATGATCAAGGGGGCCCATAGGAAATCTTGACCTGAGACAAGACTTCAGGAAGGTATTGGACATTCAGAACACCAAGACCTGAAGGTGCCTTGCTCAATGGAAGAGGGCAGGACAGAGCTGACAAAATTTTGCTCCCCAGTGAAGGCCACAGCAACCTTCTGCCCATCCTGTCTGTTCATGGAGGGGGTCCCTTTCTCACCTCTGCCATGTTGGGTTAGAAGTCAAGTTGGGAGACTGGAATAGTGGTTCTTGGAAAAATGGACCCCAGTGAAAACTAGTGCTCTAAGCCCATTCGACCCATTTCACACCTGAAAATGTTAGTGATCACCACTCGGACCAGCGTCCTTGAGTATCAGAAAGCCCAGGCAATTGCTGCATCTTAGTAGGGTGAGGGATAAGCAAAAGAGGATGTTCACTACGACCCAGGAATGAAGATACTATCAGCAAAGAATTTCAATTTGTTCAGTCTTTCATTTAGAGCTAGCCTGTCTTTCACAGTACCATCTGAATACCTGTCTTTGAAAGAAGAAAGACTATGTAGCTTAGGTTTGTTTTGTGTTGTTTGAAAATATTATCTTTGTAATTATTTTTCATATGTAAGGAATGCTTGGAATATCTGCTGTATGTTAACTTTATGCAGCTTCCTTTTGAGGGACAAATTTAAAACGAACAAAAAGTCCCCATCACAGTCTTAAAGGATGCAAGGGCCAGATCTGTTAAGTGGTTCATGGGAGACACATCCAGCAATTGTGTGGTCAGTGGCTCTCTTACCCAATAAGATACATCACAGTCACATGCTTGGTGGTTTATGATGTTGACCTAAGATGTATTCTGTTAAAATCTCTCTCTGTTGCTGTTTGTTCTTGTTTTGTTTTGTTTTAAAGTCTTGCTGTGGTCTCTTTGTGGCAGAAGTGTTTCATGCATGGCAGCAGGCCTGTTGCTTTTTTATGGTGATTCCCATTGAAAATGTAAGTAAATGTCTGTGGCCTTGTTCTCTCTATGATAAAGATATTATTCACCATGTAAAACAAAAAAATATTTATTGTATTTTAGTATATTTATATAATTATGTTATTGAAAAAATTGGCATTAAAACTTAATCGCATCAGAAGCCTATTGTAAATACAAGTTCTATTTAAGTGTACTAATTAACATATAATATATGTTTTAAATATAGAATTTTTAATGTTTTTAAATATATTTTCAAAGTACATAAAATCTGGGGGTTCTGGGTTTTTTTCTCTTTACTGTAAAACAAACATGAAAACGTGTTTTATTATAAATACGTGTGTTCCTTGCTTTAAGACTAATCTGACTAGTTTTAGCAACTAAACAGCCCTCCAGAGAGGATACTTATTTGAAAGCCTGGGAGGCCAATCCTGCAGTCTGTGAGCTTCTGAGGAGTTAGAGGATTCGGTCTGTCTTCCATGGTGGAAGACAGGAGTGTCGTTTTCTCGGACACTTGGAAGTTTTACCCCTCTGAAGTGATATACTTTCATCTTATACCAAACCACGTAACCTAGCAACATCGGGATCCACGAATCACGGCTGGCTGGCTCCATTTGATTATAAAATAACTGTCAAAAAAATCAAAGTGGGTTTACCTAGGGATAATGGAATAAATTGGCCCAAATTTAGAAAGTCAACTACTGAAAAAAAAAAGGAAATTCAATATTTGGAGACAGGTCACATACCCTGTGTTTGGAAATGGTGCCATTTGCAGTATGTATTTGTATCCATAGCACTGATTTAATTTTTGTATGTGGAGCACACAGATTTTATATCATAGTACCCACAATCTAACAGATTGCTAAGATTTCTAAAAGGATTTGCCTCTGTGATGGCTGCCAAGCCGCTGGGTAATTTAGTTAAAGTGTTTAAAGTTATCACTAAATCTTAGGGAAATAAATGGAAGGATTTTAAATCAGAGAAAGGGCCATTAAGGAAAAAAAGCATCTGTTCCTACTCTTAAGCCTCCCCATTTGAACACTGACAATCCATCCCATAATGTGGTGAACTATATCTGTGCAATGTATCATTTCTATTTCTAAACATACACACATGGTTTCCTCTTGTATTGTCTTATAAATAAGGATCAGGAAAGTCATAACAAACATTGACTTGTGCTGTGTATATGGAAAAACAGATTGAATGAGATGAATTACTGTATCCTAATCTGTCCAGTGAACTTGAAAAGTACTCTAAACTCTAAGAGAAACCCTTGCCTGCCAGTCATGACAGCCCAGCCATGGAATTAGAACTTCGATAAACTTCAGGCTTGGCCAATTTTTATAGTCAGAGGACTAAAATATTTTTTAAATGGTTGAGTAAAAAAAGTAAAAATTACACATGACATCCAAATTACTTGAACTTAAAGCAGTTTGGTAAACATGACTGAAAGTTTTCATTAGATGATGAGGTTGAAAAAAAATAAAATAGAGACCTATCTACTAAATTATCCAACTTGGAATCAGTAGGAGTAACCAGTGTGTAATGTATTCATCGAGTAAACAGTTAAACTTGTTTAATTATTAAGATGCCTGGAAATAACTCAGATCATTGCTTTGATCTGTTGTTTTTTCCCCATACTGATAAGCCTCTGTGGTCATTAGCTGTGTCTATGAAGTCCTTATGAGCTGTACTAATTCTATGAATAATAAGACAGTTCTGAATGAGAATCTGAAATAAGTCTTAGAATGGATCAGGTTAAATTGTTCTTCATTCATTTAAGTGGTTTCTAGATCTGGATAAAATGTCAAACACTTTTTGAACTGCAACAAATGGCTTTAAGCTTAATGTAAAACATACATGTCTCCATCATGTTCTAAAATCAAGCCTGGTCTATAAGTTAAAGTGGAAATGGCTGCAAATTTTGATAAGCCATTGTTAAGTAAAGACTAGGATAAGAAACAATATACGTGTACATAAATTTAGGAAGATGAGGTGTTTAGAAACTGCTGCAAACACACATCAAAGCCATTGCGGATTTGATCCAACCTCAGAATGTTGGCCAGCAAAATTAGTGTTTGATGGAACATGGGCCATCCTTTTAGCTGTGGGTTATTTAACTTACTTTAAAGGTTGGTTGGTTACTTGCTTGGTTTGGGGACAAGTGGGAGTAATGGTTGGGAATCTGACTTTTGCTGGTTACATTGAACTAACTGGTAGTTGGTGAACTCCCCACCTAAGAGCTAAAGTTAGCAACTAGAGTGGGTGAAGCCACTCCAAATCAGCCCATGTTTATAGACATTCCTTCTAATAAACACCCTGCCTGCATGTCTATCCCCAGTCTTTAAGTATCATCATCTATTCTCTCAATTCTGGCCACCATTTATTTTTAGGGGGAAAAAAACACACTTCTTGCTTTTTAATATGTAAATAGATGCAGTAAATTACTTGAAGACTATGTTTAAATAGTAACAGAAAAAATACTGTGATCTTACACATCATAATCAAGGAGAAGACCCATTTCTGTGGCACTCTGTAGGATTTCTGTAGGCCTTTACCTCACTCCCGCCTCCTAAGTATTGACAAGGCATAGACCACCAGATTAGGAGCTCCCCACCCTGGCATTTGCTTTTCTAACAACAATAATGTGTGTTTGGTAACATCAGTAGCAGGGAATTGTAAAAAGCTGGCCTTCCAATTAAACCTCATCACACAAACAATAAACAAGACCTTTCCATTCATTATATATTTAAGTATGAGCTGCTAATTTATATCTGGCAAAGCAAAAGTCCTTTCCTTTAGAAAAATAAGCCTATCTGTCCTGTAAAAAAACCTCACACACAATGTTGTAGTTAATGACAGGACTTGTCTTAAACCTGTAAATGACCGAAAAGTATTAGTTGAAATCCGCTTGAGGTGTATGTTCTACATTTAGAAAGGACATAAAGATGCTTCTGCAGCTCTGCACTTTGGTACTGTGTTCTATTTCAAATTGTTCCTTAGAAACCAGGGGCTGGCTGCATAGAATGGCTGGACCCAGGGGAAATGTTTTTGTCTAGCTTAAGTGCTCACAATTTGAAAAACTCCATATCTAGTACTGAAGTACACATTTAAATTTATTTAGTCAAGCTGCATTCTCCATTGAGCCCTAACATTAAAAAAAATAGTTGCTAACCTGGAATTTGGTGCATATCAGGAAGGAAAGAGGGAAAAGACATAAAATAGAAACCTTATCCAGCAGAGACCTTCTCCAGCAGATACCAAGCAGTGTTTACTTGGAGATAACAGTACCCATACTCTCCTCCAGTTAGACTAATGCAATGGTCTCAAAGTGTGCTCTGTGACCAGCATCTGCATCTCTGGGAACTTGTTACAAATGCACACTCTCAGTTCCCATCCTAGACTTACTAAGTAAGCAGCTCTGGGGGTAGAGCACAGCACTGAGTTTTAAAAACCCCTCTAGGTGATTCTGTGCCCATACAAATTTGAGGAATATTGGACTAAGAGGATTAAACAGCCTTTCACATGTTTTAGATAATAGGAAGATAGCACAATCCAAGAATTTGGAACTGTAAGATCTGATCCTAGTCATGCCACTACCTCTTTCCTTGGCCCTGAAAACATCAATACGTCCATGTTTGCATGTCCTAAGCAACACAAGAGTAATGGGTGCTTGCAGGTGGAGCAATGCTTAGTGTTGTAAGAGAAGAGTACACTGATGGTTTGAAAGCGGGCATGCAAATGTGAGCCAGGAAAGCTCAGTGCTGTTCATAGTCAATAATTTTTTTTTCTTTCCTTTCAAAGTAACAGCAGTAGTGGATTCAGGACCCAGAGCATGTAGTCGTTTGTAACACATTTGGAACGGTGGTGAGAAATGAGAAGCAACATGCAGCAAATTAATAAGGAAAAGATTATTCCATCTGGGGAGCTGAGCTCTGCACATGCCAACACAGCCCATTCTCTGTGAAATAGCATTTTATTGGTCGCAAATTAAATCAGCATCCTGAATTAATCAACTATTAGCACCCAGCTGAAGAATTCTAGGTTCACACCTCCAGAATGACCAGACTATAAATACAAAGGGCTTCCCCAGACTTGTGGCAAAGCTTTTCCACATTGTAAGAGCTGGTTTCTGGAAATGAGGACCTGGACATAGCTATTCCCATCCCTAACCCATCTCTGTGTGTATGTGTATGTGTGTGTGCACACTCTTGCATATTTTACACTGCAAACTGCATTAGAAGATTTTTCTGTTCCTGGGATGGAGGAGAGGGTGTCCAAATGTATTACCCATCCATTAGGCAATACACAAGCCTTAATTCTAACAAGCTACCTCGAGAGCCAGGTATCCTGGTAGTTCAATCACTAGCTTGGCCAACCCTTTCCAGTATCTGAGCCTCCACATGCCCTCATCTGTCAGAGGAAGAAGCTGAACTTGGGTGATCTCCCAACAGGATACTCTTGGAGGTAAATTTCAGTTTTAAGACTACAAGTTCATTCTTTCTACTTCTTTGTTTGCTATAAAAAGAGATTAAAGAGGTCTCTGAAGCACTTAAAGGCTGGGAAGCAGCCTGAGATAATTCACTGTGCATCTCCTGCCTCCCTCCATAGTTGGTGTCCTTATTTCTTGGCACTTGCCACAAGATTAAAAGCAGGAGGCACCTTGGGTTAGCATGGGGGTTGGGAGGATGTGACCCAAGGAAGGTTTCTACTTCATATGCAAGTATAAAAATACCACCACCTATTTGACAAGCAGGCAGAAAATACCTTGGGGAAAATTCCCAAATATTGTTCAAGGTGCAAACTTTCTACCAGGTTCTAACCTTACTTTCAAAGCCAGGCAATGTATTTGCCTTTGTTTTATATCACTCATTCATACTGTATTACATGGTGCCTGGCAAGGAGAGATTCCATGTGCTTTGCTGAGTTGCAGAGTAAGGAAACTGCATGAAACTGCTGGATTAGCATCCTGTAGAGTCACTGTTTATAGAACTCTCTGAATGAAATGGGTTTGCACCTCTGTTCTTTTGGGCTTTATAAATTCACCGAGGATGTTCAGCTCCCAATCTGCTTCACCACCACCCCTGAACACTGAATAGCTCATCTTCTTGAGAGGATGGCCTTGAGGACAAGAGCGTCTCATAACAAATCACAGCAACACCACATTCAGTAGTGGATTTCTTCAGAGCAACAGCAGATACTTCAGAAACGTAGAGAGGTCATTCTGAGTGGCGTTTTGACCAGCTTAGGAGACAAACCTCACTGGCATG